ATTTTGCTCAGTGAATGTAATTACTAGTTACTTTGGAAAAAAAAATCACAAAAGGACAGACTTCTAAGAAAGGAAAAGCTGAGTAAGAAGTGAGAAGAAACAGGCTCAAGGATCAAAAAGAAAAATGAACATGTAAAGTATTTTGGAGAACTTTTTTTTTCTTTAACTTCAGAGACTAGGGCTCTATTGTAGTACTCTACAACTTTGAAAAAAAAGATTGAATCTATAACACGAAAAGGACAAAATCATCTATGAGGTTCTAAATGACAGATTCAACTCTCTACTTTCCATGCCAGGCTCAACTCTGTGTTTGGTAAAACAAATTTTGTGCCATCCCAAACATGTATACTTCCACTGTTTAACACCAACACAGTAAGACTACCAGTAACTCCAGTGGAGTGCTACAGTAAAGATTTGCACAGAAATTGGACTTGTGACAGGTAGGTTTGCCTCTCTTCTATAAACCCACAGCTTCAAGCTTTGCTTATATATATATGAAATTAGATTTTATATATGTGTGTGCATACAGTTTTACATATGTGTGTATATAATAAGCAAAATTGGGGGGTTTTGTGTCCTTAATTATTTTTACTACCCAATGTCCTCAAAAGACATCTCTCTTAACCCTTCCTTGCTAAACTTCAGTATATCTTTTCTCTGTATCCATAAATGCAAACTGCCTCCTGTGTACCCAGCCATCAGGCAGAGAATTTTAAAGATATAATACTGTTAAACAGGCTAAATGCATTACTGATACACCAGTATTTACACTATCAGAACATCTCTGATCCTGTGGAAATCCCATTTATTTCACACTACAAGCTGTGTTTCAAAAGTCGAATCACTCTGATTTTTCAAAACTGCATTTCACTGATTCTGACCTGACAACTTATCTCATAACCTTATAGGAAGATTTGCTTTATTTCTCTCAAAAGCATGAAGTTTCAGCTACAGTTCTGGTCCAAAAACTTTGTGTCTGCCATGCCTGATCCAACTTTTAACATACAGCTTATAGTTTGGGGGATTTTTCAGCTTTAATAATCATAACAGGCTCAGGGGAAAAATACTAGAGGGAGAAAATAGCAGCAATATCAGAGAAAAGCAGGCACATAAACAGGGAAAAAAGGAGCACTATGTAAGGTTTATAGCAAGGAACAGAAAGACGCTAGGATTCTCTTCCAACATCTTCCACAGCTCTGCTCTGAGGACTCGGGACTTGGAACTTCTCTGCTTCCTCCTCTCCTACTTCTTAAACTTTTTGTCTAAACCAAACCAGTTTTCTTTGGCAGTGTCAGTCTCAATTATTAAGAATTCAAAAATAAAGCAACTCCTAGCCCTCTGTGCAAAATGAAGAAATTCCTTAATAATCACCTAGACTGCATAAACTTCAAGTGTCAAGGGACAAGAAATCCAAATATAAAGCTGACACTGTAGGCTCCCTCCCTCCCTCCCTTTAACTGACCTACTAAGACTTGCAGTGCACAAACTATGCAACTCCACATTTTCTTAGTCTTGAGTAATAAAAGCAACAAAATCACAAAGTAAAATCTGAGCCTACTAAACCAGCATCTTTGTCAAGTACGAACAGGGAGGAAGGGCTGCTGACCTCTTTCTCCCCCCAGATTTTGTTTAGCTATATGGAATCATATAGTTGAATGATTTACATACTTTAGTAATTAAATTTTCTACAGTATATTAGAAATTACACATACTACATGAAGTCACTGAAATTATAACATAAAAGTACTTTTGATTCAATATGGATATGCCTATATTACTCTCCAATGCTGATTACCAAATAGTTTAATGACACAAGCACTAAGATATATGCAGTCTGTGTTTATTAAAGAATAGAAAATTCAGGAAATAAAAAACTTCATTTCTGATACCAAAGCAGCCATAGAAATGAATATAAAAATAACACATATAGTCAAAACTTCAATGTGATTACTGAAATGATGCTTTAAATGAAACTCAACTTTTAACCACAGAAATTACTGAAATGTTTCAGGACCTCAGAACCCAGAGGCGTGGGTGGATCTTGTAGATGGCAGTCTTTTTGGAGGAGGGAAAACCAAAGGAAGGAAGTTCTGACCTCCTTGCTCTGCGGAGGGTTCTTACTATTACATTTCCTGTCAATGGCTAGCAGTTGAAACACTTACTTGTGCTGCAGTTAGCAGTGGTCCTCTCTTCTGAGGGCAAAACAAAATGAAGGGAAAGTATGAAGTGAAGAGTAAAGGGGAAAAAATGAGAGAAATTGAGGTCAGAGAAGTATGTGATTCAAATAAAAAGGAAAAAAAAAATAGAAAAGAATGAAAACCCTCAAGCACAATAGTGACCACTACAAACATACAGGGAGATTTCACATTTCAGTGCCTAACATTTGAAAGTTCAAAATGACAAACAACAGAAGCCAGCTTTATTTGAAAATGCAGAAATTTCTCAGAAAAACATAACACTGGTTGATGAGCTCAATGTTCAGAGCCTGTTTACTGCAGAGGAAAATGCAACAGATAATACAGCCTGCCATGAATTAAATGTTGGCTCAAAAGTCAAAGCTTATGAGTTGATGTATCCTTCAAAGTGTTTTAGCCTTTCCAACACCAGTGTAGATTTTAGCATTCTACATGCAGCAGCTGCCTCCTTTTTTGAAGATTATTAACCGTTTGTTCAATTTAGGGACAAAATTTGTACTGACACACTGTGTTCTTCCTCCCCCCTACATTTTTAAATTGCTATTATCTTTCTGGTTTACTGCAGAAAAACTCTTCATATTTCTAACACATAAGAAAGCATAAAGAGAAGAAGCAGGTACATCTGCTATACTCAGCAGTAAAACAACTCAATGGTAGGAAAATCAGGTGAAAAGACCCAAATTGTCAAAATCTAAATTATTATTCCGTGTGGAACTCCAGGTAGGGCTAAAAAAAAAAAAAATCAGTTTTTTTTTTTTTTTTTTTTGCCAGTAAAGATAGGTCTCTAACTCTAAAGACTATCTCAGATCATTGAAATTAATTTCCAGTAGGAAGCAGGAACTATGACAATTTATAGGTTATTTACTCCTGAGGCATTTTAGTGAGTGCTCAGCCTCTGCATCTAATTGCATTCATTTAGTTCCTGGTTACACCTGACATACCTGAAACATGCCTGGGACTATTAAAAACCAGGGGGGTTGCATGTGCTGCATATGGATTCTCAACCAGCATTCCTGCCTCCAGCAGCACGCCCCCAAAATCTCACTTCCTCTTCCTCAAGGGACTGAATTTAAGACTGACATGAGGCAGTGGGAGGGTGAGGGTGAGAACAAGAGCCTCTAAGGAAACAACACCACCAGCAGCCTTTCAATGAATATTTTTCAGTCTTCTCCCTTTAAACCACTTTTTGTAATGTTTTTCTTCTTCTTTTGCTGATTCTGAGCATGCAGTCCAAGGAATAGTTGTAGGAAAGGCTAGATGACAAGTATGGATGAGAGGGTGAGGAGAAAAGCTGTCAGGAAACAGATACCACACAAGTTCAGTCAGTTGCCACACGCCTGCTTCCTACTTTACCTAGCAGCCTCACAAACAGAGTAAAGAGCTGCTGGAAATCAGGCACTGAACAAGCAACTCTGCCATGACTCAGCCATGTCCCTCTGTCCTACAGCACTGCCAGAAACTGGGCTGCAAAGGGAAACACCACTTCCTTTATGCACTGCAAAGGGAAGGATTTCTTGCAGAGATGGTTTAGGGCAGTGTGCTTTATGTGGGTAAGGGTCTGGCTCTGAAAAGCACCTAAACCAGTAAAAGACCTTCAAATGACCTCGACAAGACCCTACTACTCATCAAAGTATATTGAAAACCAATATTCAACATTAAAAGTGTTTCTCTAAATGTAAGGTTACATCATCATTCCAATTTTTCACAGAACTGATCTCTGCCAAGACAGAAATGGTTGTGTAAGTTCTTATCCCACTCTTCTCTTGGAACACAAGTGTTTTCTTATCAGAGCAGAAATGTGTTTAGATTCTTTAGCACTCCTTAACAGTACAGGTTCATTCCAAAGATCAAGTAATGTGTTCACCTGGGGTTCCCCTGGGTGTAAAAACCCTTTATTGTAGGCTTATAGGTTTTTAGCCCTTGAAATGAAACTTCAGCTTACAACAGTGATTTTAAGATTGCATTTACTGGAATGATGTCAAATAGTACTTCCAATTAAATATTTGATGATGGATGATGGCCTGGAAAATTTTTTGAACAGTAACAGTGGTCCATTGATGCAAAACTCTTGAGAAGCTCTTGTATCTATTAGCAAATGTCCTCTGTCTCACAGAGGGACTGAGGAAGCACTCTGTCTCTGATTACAATCCATATGACTGTGGGACAACATGAACATATGGGATCTTATTAGCCATTCCTGGCTTTCTCCAGATCATGTGCTTCAAAGGCACACACAAAAAGCCATTACTTTTCCCTTGTATTTCCTACATTTTCTTCCCTTTTATCCACTTTAAAAGCCACTGTCAGACTCCAGGAAATAAACAGTTTCAAAGCCATCTCTTTCCAAAAAGTAATTGGTGTTCTCAAAAAAAAAAAAAAACGCAGCAGTCTTTCTTGCAGGGCAGACCACATAGTTCTTACTCACTCATGTGCTGCAAGCCAAGGTTGGGCACTCACAGGCATAACCCATCATGTGCTTGGATACACCAGTGGCTCTGGAAATCCATTTATCCAGTGGCAATGAGTTCTACAGCTTAATTACGCTCTGTGAGAGAAAGAACTCCCTCGTATTCATTTCAGCTATGGCTTTACTGTGGTTTCCATCACACCTAGAATGTGTCCCAAGCACTTAAAAGTAATAAAAAGTTACAAAGCAGAACTTAGGCTTAAACAATTAAGAAAAAATCGAATCCCTGAACAATTCCCCCACCCACCCACCCATCTTGTACAATGAAATCACGTTTTAACCGCTGCACTGTCCCCGAAGCTACACTATACCCATTTTCTTTTAATGTTCCCTAGCAGGGCTACCACCAGCACAGCTCCAGCTGAGCCACCAGCATTTTCAGCAGTGTGTCTTCTGAAAGTCCTCAGAATAGCCAGAAGTAAGTTACTGCTGCTTTGAAACAGAATTTACATTAGAAAAAGTCTGTCTCTTATTAGTTAGGCAGAGTACTGGAAGCACCAGCAGCCAGTTGTAAAACTTCATTTGTATCCAGAATTCCAAAGCCATTATTTAATTTGTTTGGAAAAAATGTAACTTGAAAAAAAAAACCCAACAAAATAATTAAATAAGAAGACGTGTTTGTTATTAAAGATCCATAAAAATGCAAGTAGGCTTGAAATCCAAAGGCTCTGAAAATTAACACTGCAAGTACATAAAAAGAAAAGCATACTGAATAGGGCTGGCTGGAAAACAACAATTCCATTTTGCTAAACATTTCAAAGCTTTGAAATTTGTTTTTGTTCCAATATGAAACAAAAATGAGACTTTCTCAAAGTTTTCATGAAATAAGAATAAGAGAAAGAATATTCACTCCCTCTGGACCTGAAAAAAAATCTTCCCAACAAAGCTGTCGCCAAAATAGATAATGTTTCCATGAAACATTCTGGTTTTGATGAAACAGCATTTTTCAACAGGAAAAAAAGTGTCAGCAGAAATACCATAGCCATTCTAACAGCAAAGGCTTATCTAGATCGGATGAATAAATTATGTTGAGAACTGAACCAATCTAATTATATTTATATAGGTCCCCATGAGAACATTGTATCACTCTCCTTAGAAAGATACTCTGTAAGATAATCGATCTATTTAATTTTTTTTCTTGACTAAAGATATTTTATTTGAAGAACGTCACAGGAATCACAGAATAAGCATAATCTGAGACGTACCATAAGTCAATTTGTTACTTACCTGGGGGAATTTTTCTATAAAGCTATTGACATTCTTATTCCAAAATAAGAATGGCTTTAAGATTTGCAAGATTTTTTTTTTTTGAGAAACAAACTGTGGTTCTAAAACCATTCAGATTTAACAGAATTAAGTTCTAAGATACTAAAGGAAAGTCTGTGCTTGAAAGTTCAAGCCATACTGGGCAGCACTGTAGAAAAGCTTAGTGCAGTAAAAAGCTCTGCAATGAAAGGGAGATGAACTAATGTTTATAAGTCTCTGAATCTACTGAAGAGGAAGAAAACACTCATATTTTATGGAATACTGCACACAGAAGTTCCTTACTCTGCTAAGTATGTACTGTGCATTATCTTATTTATACTCATTTTGGAGAACGGTTGGCTCAAGCACAGCTGGATGCCCCAAAAGTGGCAATGAGGACATTTGATTGAACAAAGCCAGGTTCAGTTGTTCCAAAGAATGTTGGCCACAGGAATAAATAAAAAGGCAGATCATCTTTGCCTGCCACATCAAGCAACATGTTCTTCCATTAACTGTTCTCACCTTCCTCTCGTAGTTCTCTGCAAAATCTTCATTCCAGCCAAGTAACAAGATTTTCCTTCCCATCTCCTGCAGTACTGCTCGACGTCATCCGTGGAACTCAGGGGCTGCAGCTGCACTTCACTGAACATGCCATAGGCATCCTGGACAAGGAGGCACAACCTGCAAAACATTCCTCCATTACTCACTGGCATCTGCTCATAACAAACCAGTGAGCAAAGCTCTGAAAACAATGTTACAGGCTTCAGCACAGGGCTTATCCTCTGCAGGATCTGCAGAATTCCTATCAAGTAACGTATCAATAAACAAACACAACATCTTTAAAGGTTTTCTCATGCACATTTTCAGGACATAACAGGGCCATGAAGAGAGAAGCATGACTGAAACAAAGAGTACAAGGCTTGCACTGGGGATTAGGTTAATTAACTGCTATGCACTATGTGGCTTGTGTACTTAAAAACGAAGAAAGCGGAGTTTTTGCCTTACTTGAGGTGAATTCTACAATAAAGACACAACAACAACAGAAACATAAATATGTGTGTGTTTAAATATAAAAATTCTGCTTAGTAGTAAGCAAAGCAACATATTTCACAAGTAATAATCACCGAGACTAGCAAAGCAAGCATTACAATTTCCCACACTCTTTTTTTAAAGAGTCCTCAGGATGAAAAAAAGAGTGAAACATCAATTTTTCTTTAAAGAACAAAACTAAACAAAACAACATAAAACTGGAGATTAGTATATTGAGAGTTGGGTATGAAGCCCAGAGGAACTATTTTAAGAACGTAATTAAAGAACCTGCTAAACAAACAATTTGATTAAAATCTATGGAAGTAGGGGCTGTAGGGCTGGGAAGTATTGCTTAACCAACTTGATGGCATTTTGAGAAGATAGTACTGTCATAACAGATAAGGCAAAATCAGTGGATGTCATACATTTAGATAGTCAAAAGCACATTTCACAAGATTCTGCACCTGAGATGAGCAGCCACGATAGCATGAATCATGCAGGGCTGGAGGAAGGAGGCCCCCGTCTACAAGATTGGTTTTAATTGCCTCAGAAAGAGACAGTTAAGCATGGAAACTTTTCAAAGGGAAACAAAAATTACCTTTGAAGGTAGCACACACATTTGTGTTTCCAAATAAAACTCAGGGGTGCACCAGGCAGCAGAATTCAGTTCATTTCAAAAGTACATGCCAAAACTACCCTCCCCAGAGCGGCACCATTGTTCCCAGCAAGCCAACTCCTTTTGGAACACATCCTGTAACGTACATGCACCCTGAAAGCATTCAACAGCAGTCATTATATCTTTATAAAATACATTTATGAGCTAAATGAGCTCCTACACTGAAGAAATCCATATATTTTCTTCACATGGAAAAGTAGGCATATGGAAGAGCCCTAATCACAATCTCCTTGTTCATTATGAAGTGTCTAACTTCGGCTCAGACCCTCAAGAAGGCTGCATTTGATATAAGATACAACCCCAAAGGCCTTCTGACATCAGCAATTGTGCAAGCACCAACTAAGAGTCCTCATTTTTCCAAATGCTGGCGCTGGTTGTGAGCAGCAGGGAGGGATAGGACTGGGTAAAAACAAAGACTGACATATTTTCCCCATACCTCCAGCTACAAAGGTCCCATACAAACCCAGTCGTCATCAGAAAAAAAACCCAAAATAAATTAGAACAACTATGTTTGCCTGCTGCTTTCCATGTTAGGACTTTGAATTCAGTTAAGAGCTCCCCTGAGTTTTAACTGATTTGACTGAAACTCCCCGTGATATTGTTATGTTTGGAAAACCAGAGTTCATATTCTATGAACATTTCTGAAAATCAGATTGAGGGGAACCGGAAAAACAAACCAAACAGTTTTGCCTATGTTAACAAAATGTTGACTGTTAATTGTGAAAAATTAGGTCTCTGTATCTCAGAGCAAGAAGGGCCAACTGAGTTAGTGTCTCAGATCAGATCAGTTCAGCAGTCTCTTAACTGATCACTGGAATTTCTCATATCTTTAGTGAGACATAACTGAACACAAGTAAGTCTCAGACTAGCTGGCACCAGGGTCATATTAAGTCCTCTGGGACATGTTAATTGCCCAAATAAAACTAGCTTGGTTGGTGCTGAAGACATCAGTCAATAAAAGAGCATTTTCCAAGTCCTTTTAAGTCAAGCAAAGAGATGGTTTCTGTCAGACATGGGAATCTCAACTCCCCGCATCCCTGGCCACAGATTTCCATTCCTTTGTGGTGGCACATAAATGGCTAGGACAGGAAACTCATCTGACCAAAAAATACTGTAGCCAAGTCATCATCACCAGCAGCATCATCTGAGTTTCTTGAAAATCAACTCTTTTAAAGTAAACTCCTACTTGCAAGGAGTACTGCTTCTAGGCAAGGATGTGTTTTCCTTGAAGCTCCCACTCCAGCTGTCCAAGGTATGCAGCAAATACAGAAAACTCAGGTCACAAGACAGGAGAATGGTCATCTTATGGCCATGCTCAATGTAGAGAAGAACTGTGCCATGGAGGCTTCTATCAGAAATGTTCTCATTCACAGTGGAAATACATTCATGATCACTGGCTTCATGAAGGAACACAGAGCAGCAGATTCCAATGCCTTTGCTCTGCCAGGTTTGTACACAAGCACAGACACTCTATTTACTACACTTGCTCTTAACAGTGTCCAGAAGGCAGTCACAGTTTTTCTGCAACATGCATTTAAAATGAAATGCATGTATTCACTCACTTGGAAGTCAGAATTTCATTAATAACCCTTCAGACACCCAACTGCAGACTTAGAGAGAAATATCCCAGATGAACACCATGAACAGAAGTTCCCAAACACATTCTCCCTGCTTCCCCATGCCTTTCAAACAGTATCAATGAACGATGGCAAAACCTTGAAACGCTATAGGTGTTTGAGGGACAACTAATTTTCCCACTTAATGACTGCCATGAAATCAGCTGTATCCCACAACAGATTTATAAATGCACTTGGAGAACTACTCTCCTGTTCTTTGGAACTGGTTCTGTTCTTATGGATTTTGTACATGCTGTCAGATCACTGACAGTAGTTCAGCTGCATTCAGAGCCTTTTGATTCAGGACCTTAACTTCCTTACCAGTACTCTTTTTTCCCTTGATTTCACTTTATTCCAAGAACAGTGCATTTGGATTATTTTCCCATGTTGCAGAGTTGCTCTCATATTACAGCAAATGTTCTCACAAATTAATTTTTAGCAGGCAGTCTAACTATGATTAAAGCAAACAGCTTGTCCCATTACTTTTTCCCCCTCCTTGAACCTCACTACCATGATGAAAACCCAAACAGCAAAATTATGAGACAAGCTGCAAATACAAAACGACTATCTGCCCCCCAGGAATTCAGCATTCATGTTTTGTGCACATCTATAGGAAACACCTCTTTTTCTTAAAATTTGGATTTGTATCAGTTAATAAGGTTAATCATACCTTTACCTTGTCAGCATGCATAGTACTAAAATGTTTAAAAAAAGTCAGGCAACATCTCCAATTTAATCAGTGGTGCTTCTGCAGGGAGGAAATAGTGCTATCTTTATTTTTGGGACAACAGGATGCAACCCTGTGTAAGACCCTCAGCTTAAAATATGGGTTTGGAAACTGAAATGTCTCATGCAAAATAGCAGAGAACTCACTCCTGGAGAGAGGGGTGGCAGGAAAGCCAGTAGAGGAACAAATGTAGGAGATGCAGAGTAAGGAAAAGATGAAGTATGACACATTGGTAATAGCAAAGGGGGAGAAGATAGGGAATGATAAGAAGTGAGGCAGAGTTTAGCTTTTTTTTTTTTTTTTATGTAATGACACAGTAAGTCTCATGCAAAAGCTTGGGAAGATTTTGTTAATTTGCTAATAGCCAGAAGCAAGGATGGGGGCTGGAGGAAGATGAGGCTGATTGCTCTGCATTATTTCTATGACTGTGCTGATCTTTAGGACAAAATGTCTCCCAGTAGAAATCTGGAGGGGATTACAGGATTAATGTCATGCCCTTTTCCCAGTTAGTCACTCTTCATGGGTAAAGGGTAAGCCCTTCTTTTACTAATATGTTTTTATGCGTAAAAAATCATCTCTCTCCATACTGCTGCCTTTTATCAAGCAGCTGACTTTCTGGAGAGGTAAGGGCGATGAAAACCTTCTCCATTTTTGGTCTCAGCAGTTGGGGGAAAAGAATAAGACAAGGAAGATCTGCCTGGAGAGGAGACGAGAGCACAGGGAGGCCAGAGCAGACTGATTACACTGACACTGCCTTTACTGAGTCTCGGGAAAACAAACAGCAGAAATTTGTCACGAGCAGATCTTAACCAACAAGTAATTGCTTTAGCCTTGGGTAGGAGGACAATTGTGTGGCCCAGGGCAGCTCTTCTCCATGACAGAGTGTACAGCAGGAGCAGGACAGCCAGGCAAGCTGGCAACACCATCACCTTTGCAGCACTCTGCACAGACCTCCTTGGTTGCTCTTTCTTTGGCAGTGAGAGGGATGGAATGGGAAAATGCCTGACAACTAATTGACTTGTATTAGCTCTGATATTTGCTCATTCTTTATCTCCACCATCCATGAGACAGCTGCTTCTGTTTTGTTTGTCAGAAGGACTTCTTATCTCTGTGAGGTGCGGTCCGAGCAGAGGCATAAAGCACACGAACATAAACACACACAAACAAAACCCCCTCTCCCTGCATCACCAGAGGCACAACACTACCTACACAACTCCAATCCAGCAACTTGTCTGGTCAAGTCTCAAGGTGGAGCTGATTAACTCCTGCTAATATGGCTCAGATTCAAATTGTAACCTGCAGGACACCACCCTAGCTGGGTTTAATTTATCCCTACCTTATGAACTCCTTGCATTCACCATACCCCTATAGTAATTGAAAAATCAAACTCAGAGCACAGGGACAGCTGTCCATCTTCCCCCTTTCACACTAACATTTCTCTATTTAACACTATTATATATCTATATTACTTTAATTTAACACTATTATTTATATATTATATTCTATAATCCTATTTAACACTAGTATTTCTCTGTTAAAAGCATATAATAAGTTCCTTCATGCTCCCTTTTGAAAAGAATGTACCCACTGTAGCTTTCCTCAGGGAGACACAAGATTTAGAGTTTTCTGCTTAAAATCCATACCATTTCCTGTCAATAAAAAGTGAGTGAAGATCTACAGAACACAACTATGGACTGAATGCTACAAATACAAATTAATGATGATGGTAACTATCTCCTTCTTTGCCTAGGCTGCAGAGGCACAAAGGTACAGAGGAAACACAAGCACCACTGTTTCC